TGTGGTAACTATAAGGTTTATAAATCTAATAAAGAAAATCCATGTAAATAATGTAAGTTTTTGAGCCAGAGAGTCTAATTGAGCCATTTACTCCCAGGAGCAAATTGCACAGCTACAGCTACTAAAGCCTATTAGGTCACTAACATATAATTTGGGAACCACTTCAAATTTCAGAATATTTTCTGAACCCCATTTCAGCATACAGTGGAATACCTAAGTGGTATCTAATTCAGGGACTTTTAAATATTGCCTCCATCAAAACTTTATTTTATTTTTTTAAGGATTTCTTTATGCATACAAGAACTGGGGTACAGGCCAGAGGTGCAAGGGGTGAGAGGATTCACCAGAGAAAGAGTAGGGAACAGAACAGGCGGACACTGCTGAGGGCAGACAGGAGAGGTCTAGTAGCTCCCTGGCCCAAGATCAAACTCTTGCTGCAGTGGCTGCAGATAGCTTCACAGTGCTGTGCGTTAACCCCTTGCATCATCGGGGAGGGCCCGTCAAAACTTTATTTCCACACTATGGCTCAAGGTTTTCCTTTCCTAAAACTGAGCAATGGCAGGTTTATTTTGTTGTAAAGATGTTCTCACTATTATGCTTAATTGTCTCTAACTTTACAATTTAGCATTTCAATATGTTTCAGAATGCATCTCCATAAAGGAGGGAGGAGCATCAAAACCCAGTGAACAGGATCCATTTCTGTCGCCCACTTACACATGCAACCACCTTAGATTACAAAGCCCAGTATGTCATAAACCGCACTTCCTGAATTGGGGGCAACCAGGAAGGAGCAATGTGGATATATAAATAGATGGGGGGGCAAATGTGGGGAGTGAGTTGGAGGAGACATGTGATGGAGCGATACATAGAGACACTTGGAAGAGGAATTTGGAAGAAAGATGTTGGTGAGAGACATGTGGGGAGGCTGTTCCTGGTTTTTGGCAGAGACAATGACAGCCGTTATCTTGATGTGATATATTTCCAATTTTGAATCTCTTAGTCTGTCTCTGGGACCAGCCTAAGCCCTTTCTTGTGATTCTTTGCCAAAAGGTGTCCTAGACTTGTGGCATGCTTTTGGGCTTCAGTGGCCATGCTTCAGACCCAGCCTGTTTGGCTGAGCATTTGCTCACAAGAGGGTAGGTAATTTAGGGAGTTTTATTAGCAATCTGTTTATTTAAAATCTTTTCTTCTCTCTCTCTCTCTTCACACCAATTCTATTAAAAATCTTTCACACTAAGATTCAGCTACCTTTCCTTTGTGAGCCTGTACTATTTAACAGTTTGAAGTTCCTAGGTATCCTGTGGTTGCACACTAATAAGTACAAACCCTCAAAATGCTAGTTCACTCCAGCAGAAACCTTTAGGGCAAATTAGTTAACATTTAATATATATTCTTCATAAATTCATACTCAGGGAGAGATTAATTAGCATAAATTTTCTAACCAGAGATCACACCACAGAGGTGGTTAACAGTCTTCCAATATTACTATCTATACTTGCCCCCAAGGTTTAATAAATAGCATAAGTTGTATTAGAGATAACTATTAATTGAGGAAATGGATAATAGTCAAGCAATAGGGTAGGACAGAAATTTTTGTATCACCTCTACTGCTCTTATATAATTTGGGTATGTCTGGTGCAAGAAAAAACTCTAGATAGATGTTCCAAGTAGGATGGGATACAGCCCAAGAAATAGATGGAATTAAGGTTTTATTTATTAGAAGGTCTAAAGTGAAGATCAGAAAATCAGGAAGTGCAGGGACTTAAAGAAGCTACAGCTGATCATCTGCCCTTAGTGGGTGGTGCTAAGGGAGACGCCTAGAAGTCTCTTCCAAAACCTCATGTCTGCTGTACAGAAAGGCATGCCCTTGGGGAGGGTTCATTGCTCTCTTAACTTCTCAATCCCATAGGAGGGCTTCTCACTCATAGGAAGTGAACCAGAACTCCTACTAGCAGAAAAGTTATCAGAATGTAGTTTCCTGGCCTTACTTATGGGAAAAGGAGCAGTGATGATTTTGATGGTTAACAAGCAGAATCAAAAAAATAAAATAAAATAAAATAAACAAGCAGAATCAAGCATAGGGTATCAAGCAACCGAAGGATGTGATGTCTAGTTTTATTTAAATTTAACTAACTTAAATAGCTATAAGTTAGTGTATAGCTCCTTCATTGGGCAATGTGGGTATAGAACTCTCTTTGGTCCTGTGCTCTCTCTCTCTCCAATTCCATTAAATGGAACATAGTGTTGTCTTTCTGACCTGAGCTTACCCTGATCCTGCCATCTGCATATCTGTTGCATTTATGGTGTGTTGAAGGCAATGGTTAGAACGATGATGTGATAGAGATGGGGTGGGGAAGTGGGGGTCTCTGAGCTTAGAGAATTGGTCTTTTTTATGCCTGGTAAAACATGTCTTATGTATTTTGAGTGAATCTCTGAGCTTAGAGAATTGGTCTTTTTTATGCCTGGTAAAACATGTCTTATGTATTTTGAGTGAATGGGCCTGAGACTTACTTTCCCCTTAACATCTAACAGTAGAAGAAGTGAGGTCACTGATGTTTACCTACAGAATCTAATAATTGTGACAGCCAATTAGCCTGATTAGTTTGCAGCAGATGCTTTTCTCCCAGAAATGTTTCTCAAACCTTTGGAATCTGCAGTATCTTTGCTGTTAGCAAACATTAGCAGATGACAAAACAAACAAAGACGACATAAATATTAATAGAAAAATCCAGATAAGCTAGTTGGTCTCCACTGAACAACTTCCTTCACTGTGAGCATATGCTCACAGAGTCTTTCTTTAAAAAAAAAAAAATCATACATATAACGCAAATTTCCTGTGTATGAAGTGTTTATGGGGGGAGGGAAGTAGTGAGGAAAGTGTTTATCATTTACATGGTTGAACTGACATTTCAGTGTCAGAAAAAATCCCAGTATTTTACAGAAGACCCCCAATAGCCAAGTGTCTATCACTCAGAGAACCGCAGAACTTCTTGCTCTGTTTTTATATATATAGGCATTATAAGATCCTCTCTCTTAGTCTCCCAAAGTGTTGGCATAATACTGAACCAAAGCAGATGCTTTCATGAATGCATGAAACAATTTTTCATACTGAAAACATTAGCAAATGAGACTGTTTATCATTTGTTTGCCTATCAAGTAAAGAAAAAATTAATGATTTAAATGTTATTTTTCTTTTTTATACCTGAACATTTTTTTTGGTCTTAGCTACCTTTCTGCATTTGTCATGCTTAAGTGTTGCTCACAAGATCTCAAAAAGCAGTGCTGCTTATTAATTTAAGAATTGAATATCATAGAAATGATACCACATTATTTATTAAGCAGTCAGTGAATTCAATTTATGCCAACATTGGCACCCTCATTAATTATCTCTATACCTGGTATGAATAAAGCTAGTTTGGAGCTAGTTGTCTTCAGAGTGCTATAAATTGTATCCCAAAGGGAAAAGGCTAAGGAAACTGGTCCCCTAGGGCATTTGCTTAGTCAGCAAAACCTAGTATACTGCTTTGTGAATAATTCTTCAGCCTCAACATAATTCATATTTATACAACTGCAGACAGAGCATCCTGGATTAGTGATTGGCAGTTTCAAAGATTCTTTGTAGGCATTCCTCCATCACCGCCCCTCTGCAATAGACGGTCATTTAATATACCCAAGTGGTAGATCGGAGGGAAGGGCTCTAGAGTGAGAGGCCAGGAGTGTCCATTCAGGGGGCCTGTCTCTCAGCATGGAGGCTGAGGGAGAGTTGGAAACCAGCTCCTTCTCAGATGCCTGTGAGGAGAAAGTTACTTGTATGGTTACTAGTGCTTAAATCACCCACAGGGGAAAGGGAAGATGAACCTGAGGAGGTTTGAAAGGGATTCAACCCAGGGATGTTGATGGTCTCTTCTAGATGCTTTTGGAGTCCTATGATTCCGCTGCCGTAGTACCATGTTGATGACTTTTCTTATTTAGTGATCTCCCTCATTTAGCCCCCCTATAACCCACATTCCCTCAGACATAGTTGATGTTCTCAGCACTCCTGACATGGGCTGGTCCCACTGCCTCAGCACACGTGCGTGGAGCTAACGGGTGATGATAATGATATTCACTGATAGACGTGACAAGATGTTGCTTTCAGATTAGCCCACAGACAGATTCAAATGGCGAGTGTTTAAGTCTCGTTCAGCTTCTTTGAAAACCATGTTAGGCTTCGATGCAAAACTAAAGTCTTGCCTCAGAAAGCTGTCAGCTCAGAGTGTGCTGCTTTGATAACTTCATTTATATTAAAATAACTCCGTCACTTTCTTCAGTTTAAATCACCAAACCTTTTTGTCTTAGCTGCAAGGAGGACATAGATTACAGTAAGTGTCTGTCTTCTAAAGTATTTCTGATATGAGTGGATTCTCTGTGATTCTCAACTTCTCACCGGCGCCAAGCAGCTAATGTAGTTCACAGGTTCAATCCATGTGCCCAAGTGGTTCATGAAAATCTTTATGTTCTTTCTGCCCCTGATAAAACTTGATGATGCTGAGACATTCTATTCTGATTCATAAATTGAAAAGAAAAACCTAGTGAATGATGAAGCATAATCTGTCAGTCACTTGGCTTGTTACTGAATTATGTATTTATTTTACATAGATTGATGGTAGAATTGGTTGACTTTTTACAAGTGTGATTAAAAGGGTTTCTGGATTGTGTTTCCTAAACAGGATTTGCAAAGCTTTTTAATGTTTTAGAAGACAGAGTTGGAACCAAACTGAACCGTCAAGTTTCTGTGTTGTTTTTTGCTTCTCTTGTGCAGACTTGAAAATGTTCTTAGATTCAGACCGAACTTAGATTGCTTAATGGAACATGGCTGTTGCTTTCCAAAAATCAGACACCATGCCCTTTTGTTATATCGCTAATGTTGATTCTCCCCACCTGCGCACCCCTGCTTCTATCTTTATTTGGGGATGCAGAAAGGCACCAGTAAAGCCCTCTCTTGTCTTCTCTCTTTCCAGGCTTGTTGATCGGCGCTGGCTGTGCCCTCTACCCCTTGGGCTGGGATAGTGAGGAGGTTCGGCAGACTTGTGGCTACATTTCTGACCAGTTTGACTTGGGTGAGTTCTTATTATTTTTATTTATTTATTTGTTTGTTTGTTCAGAAGTGGGGGAGGGTGAGAGAATTCACCAGAGCCAGAGCAGGGAGCAGAGCAGGCAGAAGGACTGAGGTACACTGCTGAGGGGAGCAGCGGGCGGCAGGAGAGGTCTGCGTGCCATGTGGGACCCTCCTCCGGTGGCCGGGGAGCAGCCGGGGATCGAACCGGCGCTGCAGAGGCTGCGGGCAGCTTCGCAACCCAGTGTTCAACCGCTGCGCCACTGGGGAGGCCCTTGGGTGAGTTCTTTTAATGAATGTCACTCCTTCTAGAAAAGAACCTTATCTAACCATTCTTAGAAACAGAAGGTGGAAAAGGTTGGGGAAGAAAAACACATCCCTGTGTTGCGGCCAGCAGTCATATGTAACAATGCATGTACATTCATTTATCCATTTATTCAGTGAAGAGTTATTGACAATCTGATGTTTGCTGGCACCATGGTAAGTATAGTAGACACAAAGATACAAAATGGGCCCTGTTCTGAAGAGTTTATATTCATTGATTATGCACTTAAATTATATGTTGACTGCTTATTGCATATGCTAAGAATAACTCTGTGCACTTCAGTATATCTGAGAAGATCAAGCAAACAAAACCATCAAGGAAACGGCAGTAAGGGCTAAGAAATCGAAAGCAATTTCCCTCCAAAGGCAAAAGCCAACTTTGTGAAGGAAATGAGAGTCAACTAGGGTCTTGAACAAAGTGATACCTTTAGACTATCTGGCAGTAGACAGAAGCACCTTGTGGGCTAGGAATATGGTATAGCAAAGGTACAAGGGGGAATGTGAAGCCCTTTTGGGGGACCATACAGATCTGAGAAGCAGAGAGAGAAGCCTATGAATAGATGGATAAAGGACTTCTCCTGAATTTGTTTTTTCTGTGTACTTGTTAGAAAAGTTCACATATTTTCCATGTGCAACCTCTGTATTCTACTTAACAATCTATAAAAAATTTGTGTAACGCTACATGGTTTGTAACGTATAGTTTGTAAACATTGAATAATATTTCACTTAGTTGACAAACCGACATATACTTAACTGCATATTTCTTTTTAGTTAAATATTTAGCCTGTTCCAATTTCTGTTAAGACATATTTTAACGAGTAGTTTAATGAATATACATTTTTACTGAATTATTTTCTTAGGGTGTTTTTCTGGAATTGGTGTTAGGAGATCTGAGACTATGAACTCATAAAGCACTTATTGTCAAATGAAAGCAAATTTATTTTCCCTCAGTACATCAACGAGCAGCTTTTAACAATTAGTGCGTAGCGAGTTACTAAAATATCCACTTTTCACATTAAACATTTCACTCTAAGAAGAAAAAGATTCAGGAAGTTGTGTTAATGGTAATATTACGGTGTCCCAAATAATGTTTTAAATGTTTATGTTTGAATTTCTGTGAAAAAAAAAATTGTCAAATACTGAGGAGAAATAAATAGATCCAATATAATACCAAGGGTCTGTAAATTTGAAAAAGAGGAAATTTTTTTTGATTCCATATAAGACAAACATCTTGCTTCCCTCAGAATGACCCTGGCTATTTGGGTAGAGAAAACCTCTGAATGCCACCTACTTTGCATGAATAGGAAACAGGAGATTTCCTTTTGCCCTTTCTTCTCTCCCCATGACAGACTTTCTGAAGTTTGGATCAGCATGTGCTTGTCCTCAGGGAGGATGCTGTCTCAAAGCACACAGTCAGCATGATTTCCTGTTTGTTTGTTTGTTTGTTTGTTTGTTTGTTTATTGTTGTTGAGGACAAGCACTATGTCCAGGGAGATGTTTCCATTCAGTGTTTGGCATTTTTCTTTCTCTGTTGATTTGAGGCTGTCTTGGCTGTTTCGCACAGGCCTCAACTTGATTATAGGCCAGCGTTCTTACTGCTTCCTTGCTGTGGTGTGTTGCTATATTAATTAGCAAGTTATAATGAATCTCAGATCCTGTTACTTGTGATTTTCATTACTGTACCATGGTATTTTTATATCTTCTTAACAGTATGGGCCAAGATTTAATGTCAACTTAAACTTAGGAGAAAACATTTGCCTCTTTCCTAGTGGTAATAATTTATGTTCTTAAATGGAAAAGCCTGTGTTTTAACTTTTGCCATTCTTTTTAAAAATTTCTCTAGATTGAATAAAGAGGGGGAAAAAATGAAAACTGGTATTGTGTTTGGATTAAATGAAGTCTCTGTCCCAAATGAGTATTTGGGGTTTCTAGAATTCTGTTTCTTCAAGTTGCTGTTATTTCTGCAGACTGTGATCTTTTGTTTAGAAAGAAGAAAGACTTAGAGAGACACTGAGGCATAGAGATCGCCAGGCCTATTCCACCCAACTTCTTGTGTTGTTTGTCTTTTCATGGTTACAATTCCCTCTGAACACGAATGCAGCCTGACCTTCAGGGAATAAGTTATGTACAGATTATGGAGCAAACTTGGCTGAGAACCTCAGTCCAGGTTTGAGACCCAGGGTATGCACACAAGGGGAAGGATAGCTGGGTGGGGCTACTCCATGCTGGATAGCTCTGGAGCCTATTTTCAGTGACATCTACACTGCTCATCTGCCACACCCTGCCTCTGCCTCTTCTGAGAATTTCAGCTTATTTTCTGCCTCTTCTCAGAGGGGATAGTATGTGGGTACAGCTTCCTCCCAAGAACTGGAAAATGTTGTTGTAGGGGCAGGATGGGCACAGAGCAGGTTATCTATGATCCGAGCAGACCTGCTAAAGGAAAGTTCTGGAGCCCTCAGTGGGTTTCTCAGGCTTTTATTGAGCTTTACATGTAGTGTGGCAAACAGGTACATGGCAGGCAGGGGTGTCCAGGGGCCAGGAGATCGGGAGGCCTCTAAGGCCCCAGCAAGTCTTCACTCTGGGCTTCTCTCTCTCTCTCTCTTCTGGCTTTCTTTCTCCCCTTCTCTCTCCTGTCTCTCCTGCTTCTTCTCTTGGTGACTATCTCAGTACTCCTCCCATGGCCCACAGAAATAAACAAGACAGCTTACAACAATGTACCAACTGCATGTGCTCCATCAGGCAGGGCAATCCTAATGGTGGGAGGGCAGAAAAGCCTGAAAACCATTTACCCTACACTTATGAAAGCTCAAATCCTCCTTATTGTAGAAAATGGGTTACTTTCTTTCCATGCCATTATTGAAATATTGTTGCACCCTTTATAGCATATCCTGAAAGAAACATTGTTCTTATTCCCACGTGGAAGATTATTTAAGGAGTGTATTTCTTCAGTTAGCCGATGAACGAATATTGAGGTGCTTGCAATGTGCAGGGCCTGATGCTAGGGGGCCATGGTCATGGCTTCAACAATGAGTTTGATTAAATAGACACTCTTCACTGCCCTTGGGAAACTTAAAAACTAGCAGGAGAGGTAGATGTTCAAGAAAGCAATGCCCTTGGGAAGGTGTTACAAATGGAAAGTGCTGGGCACTGAGTGGGCATTGTGATTGTCTTGCCAGTACTATCCCTGCCTAGCCATGAGTCTAAGCCAGAGTTTGACAAATCCTATAAAGAGCTAGATAGTGACTATTTTCAGCTTTATGAACCTTGTGGTCTCTGTTGCAGCTACTCAGCTCTGAGCTGCAGCGTGAGAGACGGTTCATGTCAGAATGGCTGTGACTGTCCCAATAGGATCTTTTTTCTCTTCTTTTTGTATTTTTTATAAAAATGGGCAGTGGCTCTGTAGTTGAAAGATCCATGATCTCTACCAAATTATATGCCTGACCTGCCAGAAATGGGTTCATTTCAAATGTGGGTTGCTTTTCATCTTTTCATCCTTGGATGCTTGTCAGGATCTGGGGCAACCCAACACTCTGCACTGAGCAGCCCCACCCAGCTAATATGCTGTGTAAATACTACAACTTTCTTCTTGCATGTTGTTGAAGTGGCCTCATTGTGACTTAATCTTTTTTTTTTTTTTTAAAGATTTATTTATTTATTTATACAAGCACTGGGTACAGTCAGAAGCACGGGAGGGTGAGAGAATTCACCAGAGCCAGAGCGGGGAACAGACCAGGCAGACTGACGAAATACACTGCTGAGGGGAGCAGCGGGCAGCAGGAGAGGTCTGTTTGCCATGTGGGACCCTCGCTGGTGCCTGGAGATCAAACCGTTGCTGCAGAGGCAGCGGGAAGCTTCGCAGCCCAGCGCTCAACCGCTGCTCCACCAGCCACCAGGGGAGGCCCTGTGACTTAATCTTGCCCATCCACCTCCTAACACTAGCTTGGAGTGGGAAGTTTTAAGGACATTTGGGCCAGTGAGTCCGAAGATGTTATCAGAGGCTTCTGAGGAAAATGAGATACAAGCCCAAGAGATAGACCCCGGAGCTATGTTCTCCCTCCCTCCACCAGGTGGAATTGCTGGAGGGAGCAGCCACTGGGGTGGAGGTGGGTGTAGCAAACAGCCTTCCCTAGAGCAAACCTTCCCTAGGAATTTCCAACCTTGCTGACACACAAGGATTCATTTCCTTATAGGGGATTAATTGGGCATGTTTTCTCTTAACTTGCAGCTGATAGCAACCTGAATGGTGTTTTATTTAGTTGCATGTAACAATTTAAGGAGACAAGAGGTCATGGAGGCTTTCTAAGGAAATATTATTTTTAGCTGCGCCCTGAAGGGGGGGCCTCCCTGGTGGCACAAGTGGTTAATTCACAGCACTATGAAGTTATCAGCAGCCATTGCAGCACAAGTTCCATCCCCGCCCAGGGAGCAACCCACATGGCACAGCAGACCTCTCCTGAGTCGCCTGCTGCTCCCCTCAGCAGTGTACTTCGGTCAGTCTGCCTGTCTCTGGTGAATTCTCTCACCCACCCCCTTCACCTCTGGCCTGTACCCCAGTTCTTATATGCATAAATAAATAAATCTTTATTAAAAAAAAGGGGTGCACAGGGATGTGTTTTAGGATGCCTTCCAGGGAGGGGTAGGTTTCCAGAGAGGACAGGAAGAGAGACCAGGAAGGATCCT